GCATGCCTTTCTGTCGTCTGTGTCGAAAGCAGGTAAACTGCTTGTCCTTGGTGACTTTAACGTCCGTGTCGGCACAGATCATGCTGCCTGGAGCGGAGTGCTGGGCCCCAATGATCTCGACGGCTCCAATGACAATGCCCTGTTCATCCTATGAACCTGTGTAGAATACCGACTCATCCTGACCAACACCTACTTCCGTCTCCCGATGCGAGACAAGGCCACCTGGATGCACCCCCGGTCGCGACACTGGCGACCGCTAGACTATGTCCTCGTCCGGAGGCGAGGACAACGGGACGTGACGGTGACAAAGGCGATCCCGGGTGCCGACGAGTGGACCAACAATCGGCTCGTCATCTTAAAGATGCGAATTCGCCTACAGCTTCACAGAAGAAATCAAAGAAAGCGACCCCCAGGTAAGCTGAATAGTGCCTTGTTGTCTTCGCCTGCTCACCATCTGCCTTTAGGCAACGAGCTTGCACAATGGCTAGCCAACCTTCTAGTCGCTATTGCCACCGCTAACGAGAACGCCTCAGTGGAGAATCGATGGTGTTAATTGCGGGACACAGTCCAGTCGACGGCGCTGGCAGTCCTCGGTCACGCACGTCGCCAACATCGGGACTGGGTCGATGACAGCGACGCCGCAATCAGCAACCTACTGCCTGAGAAGAACCGATTTCTCCAGCCTAAGTCAGTCGCCCCACCGACGACGCTGAAGCAGTCTTTTACCGTAGTCGCCGCCTTGCGCAATAGCGGCTGCGGGAAACGCAAGACGCTTGGACCGCCTGCAAGTCCGAGGAGATTCAAAGTTACGCGGATCGCAACGAATGGATGATTTTTTTGCCGGTTCCACAGTCAAAGCAACTGCTCCTCTTTTCAGTGCCGGCGGCAGTACATTACTCACCGAGAAAACGAAAATTCCTCGACGATAGGCCGGGCACTTTAGAAGCATCCTCAATCTTCCCTCCACCATCTCCGACGCCGCCATCGCCCGTCTGCCGTAAGTGGAGACTAACGTCGACCTCGATCTCCCGACGTCTTTACGCGAAACCATCGGGGCCGTGCAACAGCTCTCTAGCGGGAAAGCGCCCGGATCGGACGCGATTCCTGCTGAAAACTACAAGCACGGTGGCCCCCAACTCATGGATCATCTGACGCACTTTCAGGAGATGTGACTTTAAGGAGAAGTCCGGTGGGATTTCAAAGACGCCACAATCGTGTATCTCTGTGAGCGGAAAGGTAATCGCCAGCTCTGCGAAATCTCCGGGGCATCTCCCTGCTGAACATCGCCGGGAAGATCTTCGCTCGCATCCTTCTCAACTGCCTCAACAACCATCTGGGACAAGGTCTCCTGCCGGAAAGCCACTGCGGCCTCCGCCGTCATCGTGAAACCACTGACATGATCTTAGTCGCCCGCCAACTGCGGAAGTGTCGGGAGGTGCGGATCCACCTCTGCTCCACTTTCGTGGATCTGACAAAGGCTTTCGGCAGGTGAATCGTGAAAATGCATGCAGAAATTCGACTATAACGAACGATTCACTCAGACGGTGCGTCAACTCCACGATGGCATGATGGCGCGAGTCACGGACAATGGAGTTGTCTCAGAGACATTCGCAGTGACAAACGGCGTGAAGCAGGACTGCGTCTTCACGACTACGCTCTTCAGTCTCATGTTCTCTGTCATGCTGATAGACGCCTACCGTGGCAAACGCCCTGGGATCCGCATCGCCTCCAGGACGGACGGCCAACTCAACAGCCGGCTGGTACACTTCCAGTCACGTGTATCCACACCTACCGTTCATGAACTTCTATTCGCCGACGACTGCGTCCTCAATACCGCCTCGGAAGGGGGCATGCAAAAGAGCATGGACCTCTTCGCCGGAGCCTGCAACAACTTCGGACTGGTGATCAACAAGGAGAAGACGATCATCAGGCATCAACCGCCACCCGACGCTGCCTACGTCGCACCGCAAATCAACGTGAACGGCGCCCAACTGCAAGTCGTGGACAGCTTCACCTACCTGGGCAGCACCCTCCGCCGCACCACCAAAGTCGACGATGAGGTGGCCCGCTAGATCTCCAAAGTCCGCCAAGCCTTCGGTCGTATTCAAAACACCATCTGGAACCGTAATGTTCTCCATCTCACCACCAAGCTGAAGATGTTTAAGGCGGTCATCCAGCCGACGCTGCTGTATGGGACGGACACCTAGACGTGTACAAGAAGCAGGCGCGAATACGCTGAGATGGCGGAATCGGATCCCGAACACGGATGTACTGGAGCGGACGGAAATCTTCAGCATCTACGCCATGCTGGGACGGCCCCATCTGCGCTGGAGCGGCTACCCAAATGACTTATACGGAGATGTCGCCACGGATTCCCGCCGACAAGGAGGTTCAGTCAAACGATACGAGGACACTCTGAAGACTTCCCTGAGGCGTCTGCAAATCAACACGGTCAACTGGGAAGACCTCGTCCGAGACCGATCGACCTAGAGGAGGACTGTGAAGACAGGCGTAGTGATCTACGAAATCAACCGCACCACCGCCCTCAAAGCCAAAATCTATGCTCGCAAATCTCAACTGCGCCCATGCCGCAACGCCAAAGCTCGACCGCCCCCGACCTGGTCACGCTGCCAACGCACGTTCCGAGCACCAATCGGCCTTGTAGAACATCTTTGAACCAACTGTAGCACCTCAACTACACCAGCCGCTGTCTCCCCGTCCAACTCCGCCTCATCTCCCACGCCGACAACACTGACCGCACTCCCGGACCCCTACTTTCGTTCTCCACCACCATTGCCTCAACATCCGCTACGACGGCTCGCGTATCCACCAACACTGCATACAATCCTGACACACCAACGAAAATCAACTCTCCCCACAAACACCCCCAGTGGTGTGGACTCAATCCATACCTGTCCTCATTGCGACTGCACCTTCAGTTCACACATCGGCCGGGTCGGTGACCTGCGAATCCATCACACAGACACTGGCGAACTAGTGCCTGGAGCACCAACATACACCAGACGCATTTTCCTCAACCGCCCTCACTGCACCCGCACATTCACCCGCCGGCTACGCCACACCATCCCATCTTACCAACCTACATCAGACATTATTACCGTCCACAAGCATCCAGCTGCTACCTCCCACGCAAGTGGGAAGTGTGCGTCTCGGCTCCGTCTCCATGCGGCTCCTCTGTTGCATGTGTGAACCTAGTCTGAGACTATCAAGGTGCGTCAAGCATCGTGGCTTGGAAGGCTGCTGATTGACGCCCTAACGCTGTCCACACAGTCTGCCTAGTGGTGTGAGTGTTTGTGTGGAAGGGCAGACTGGTGGGCAGACAGCCAGGCTGAAACTGCTCCCTCCAAATGTGACCTACGGCACTCACGCATGTGAGCTGTGCACCGTTGTGTGAAATCCTTGTGCTTGGGAGGTCAGATCGTGCATGTGGCGCGCGTAGACAAGGTCACTTGACCATGTCAGCCACCGCACCCACTTCCCACACCTGTCAACTGATCGGCTCGGACAGTGACTGGAGCCTGGGAATGGGGAGAGTGAGGTCGACGACTCAGGGCATTTTGCTCACTTTAAACAATCTGACGCGCTTGAAGCTATTACGGTGCGCTAAAAGCCGTGGCTTGGAAGGTTGCCAACTGATGGGCTAACTTGGACCTCATAGTCGGCCCACTGTTGCGTGTGCGTGTGGAGTGGCCAGCTGGTGGTCTAAGAGTCAGGCTGTAGTGGCTCCCTCTTAACGTGGCTATCATGGCACTCCCACTCCGTGGGATCAGAGCCAGGTGTGACGGCACGCCCAGGTGCGGCTTCAGCCGCGACAGTCAACCTTCTGTTGTTGGTTAAAATCCTGGTCATTTGCTGTGTGACCCAGGGGATGTGGAGTGGAACGTCAAGGAGCGTTCTTGATCGTGCCATCCACATGCGCCCTCCCCCCGTCTCCAGTCTTTTCGACTCTGTCTTGGCACCGTGTCCAGGTGGGGCAGGAGGAGAGAGTGCGGTAGACGCTGTGCAAGTCTACATTCACTATGAACTGAATCATGCGCAGGTCACCGTCCCCGCTTCACCTTGCTGAGGAGCACACGGTGGACATCGTCGGCAACGACGGTCGAACTGTCGTGTCGTGTGTTTGTGTGTAGTTTCAATCAATTCTACCTGCAACGGAGGCGTTGTGAACTATATGGTCTTAAGAGACCATTAGACGGTGGTTGAGACGATAACATGACGCAGTTCATGTACGGCAACAACGAAATTTTGACATGCGGACCTGTAACAAACCCAAGATCACCTTTAGTCAACCGGTATCTCTCAAGCCCCAGGCGTCCCATTATGAATGTTTGCCATATCAACCGTATTTGGCAAAATCGAGACACCTCAACAGCTGCCACTCGTTCTTTCACACAGGCATCTCTACCGAAAACGAAACATCGTCATAAAGAGAGCTCCTGAGTCCGATTCTTCGACTGCAAAAGAAAGAATCGAACACGTTCTCAACCTCTTTCAAACATATTCAAATACCGTCCTTCAGGACGGAGAATGTGTTACCGTGCACAAAGCTTTCCGTCTAGGAAACGCAGATGCGTCGCGTGGATTACCAAGGCCTCTTAAAATCATTCTTGTAAATGAAGCCCAGACTTCACATCTCCTAGATAGGAGGCTCTTCGTCATTCGCATAAGGAAGTGTTTTTTCAGCCGGAATACGAACCGACAGAAAGACACAAGATGAGGGAGCTCTGGACAGAACTGAAAAGAAGGACAGAAGAGGGGGAGGAGGGGAGAGGAGTTGGAAATAAAGGAAGGAAAGATAATACAGATCAAGCGATCGTTCCTGTGGCTAACCCCCTTTGTAATCAGGGCCGGTTCCCCCCGACAAGACGGACACTAAAGGTGGTGTATTCGAATGTGTAGAGCCTGTTTAACAAGATGGATGAACTCAGGACTCTGATCGACGAGCACACACCAGATATCATCGCCTTAACAGAAACATGGCTTTCTGAAGCTATTGGAGACCATGAGGTATCCCTCAGAGGCTACCAACTGTTCAGAAGAGACAGGAAAAACTGAGGAGGAGGGGTCGCTGCCTATGTTAGCTACGACCTAACCGCGGTCCCTGAGCAAAAGCCAACAACAACAGCGGAAGTGGAATTCTTTTCTTTAACTATCTCCACTAAATATGCCAGGCCGCTGGCGTTTGCAGTTGTATATCGTTCCCCAAACCAGATTTCCGACCACGATACCCTACTCCTCAGGGGACTAAACAAGACCTACTCGAAAAGAAACGTCCTTATTGTCAGGGGCTTTAACGCCCCCAATATCGACTGACAGCTTGGACGGTTTCGGGTCCATCGAACACATTCGGACAACAGTTGGTTGAATTGGCAGCAGAAAAACTACTTTTCCAGAATGTAACTGTCGGAACACGTGTTAGGGAAGGGCAACGTTCAAAGTGCCTCGACCTGGTGCTCACTCGAGATGAGGAGAGTGTGCTCGATATACAAGATCTCCCACCAATTGTTGCTAATGATCATATTCTGATGCTCCTCGAGTAATCCATGTTCTCCCAACCTAATTCACCTGAACAAGTACAAACAAATATCTGGAAGGGGGATTTTTCGAGCATGCGAACGCAAGTCGCAGCAATACCGTGGACAACCACATTGCAGGGAACAGTTAATGACTACTGGAGAACGTTCAGCTCACTGCTCAAACGAATCGTTAACCTAAACTGTCCACTCAGACGAAAGAAAACAAGCAACCGTCCGCCGTGGATAAAACGGGAACTGCAAACCGCGTTAAAGAGGAGAAATAAACTGTGGAGACACTATCGACAAACAGAGAGTCCTGAACACCTGAAGGAATACAAGCGACAGCGGAATGTATGTAAACGCGAGGCTAATAGACTTCGAAGCAACTATGAGCTGTTCATATTACAAAACTCCTCGGAGCATCCTGAAATCCTCTATAGTTACATACATAATGGACAGAGCAATCGCGACCCGATTCCAGCGCTAAGATCCCAAAAACGGAGTAATTGAGACAGATGACCATCTGAAAACACCAGCCTTCTCCAATTTCTTTCAGCCGGTATTCACTCATGACACAAACCCTCCTGCCAGGCCTTACGTAGACCAACGACAAAATCCTCCCTGTCTTGCATTGGGAGACAATCTTTTCTTCTCACCCACGTTGATAAGGACCTAACTACGCCGGCTGAAACCTGCCAAATCGCCTGGCCCAGATGGAATTCATGCACTTGCCCTCCAAGAATTAGCGGATGTACTGTGTGAGCCGGTGTCCATGATATTTCGGAAGTCCATGGAAGAAGGCGAACTGCCGGAGGAATAGAAAATGGCCCATATTTCTCCAATCTATAAAAGAGGATCGAGGCTGGAGCCCGAAAATTACCGTCCTATTAGTTTACCTGCATTCTATGCAATGTCATGGAACGACTTACAAAAGGGCATTTAATGTCGTATCTGAAGCAGAGGGACCTGTTGTGTGCTGCTCAGCCCGGATCTCGTCGTGGTCACTCCGATCTTACAAACAGTCTTTACTCTCAGGAAAAGTGGACAAGAGCCGTAGAGCAGGGCCGTCCAGTGGACGTCATCTTCTTTGACTTTAAGAAGGCGTTCGATAGCCTTCCTCATGGACGACTCCTATAGAAGATTTGGGTGTGTGGAATACAGGTCAACATTTTTAAATGGATTATAAGTTTCCTGTCATGCAGGCTCCAAAAAGTGATCGTTGGTACCACTGCATCCGAATGGGTGCTAGTAAAAAGCGGCGAGTCGCAGGGCTCAGCCTTGGGTCCTCTCCTCTTCCTCATCTATATAAACGACTGGCCTGCAGACCTTGAATGCGATGACATCTTGTTTGCAGATGATATAAAGATCTGGAAAATAAGCAGCCGCGTTTACGACACGCAGAAGCTACAGGAAGATGTTAATAAGCTGGCTGTGGGGTCCAGCAAGTGGCTTCTAGCGTTTAACGTATCCAAATGTTTAGTTTGGCGACTAGAATCTGGTCGGAGGCGCTTCCCAAAACATCAGTACACCATAAA